TCACAAAAACCATTATTATTATATTCTCTTCATTATTTTCATTTTTTCATTGGTGTCTCTTTCTTATTACTCAATTGATAAAGAAAATAACTTTCTTTATTCAATTTTATCTAATAATAATACCTTTTCTTTAATAGAAAACATCAAATTGATATAAGAATTCTGAAAACATTATGGAACGAGGGTGGGAAAAAGTTGTTTTCATAGGATACTACCTAAAACACAAAATATAATAAAAGTCTATATTTTGTTAGAAAGACAGCTAAATGATAACTTTATTGTTAACTACTTCATTGAATACTATCAAATTAATGTAGGACATGCTTTTCTACTTGGTTAATGAATTCATCGTTTTTATCTAACTTTCGTCATAACAAATCTTGTTCAAAAAGAAAGATCGGAATTCACAACAAATAAAAAGAATGACCCTGATCTAATTCACACAGTCATAACCAGAAACATGATCACGTCGGATATTCGTATCGACTATTAAATATCTTCGCTATTTTCTAGTGATAACAATAACGTTATAGAATGAAATAACTTCATTAAGTATTCAGATGATAATGACAATGTTCAAAGAAAGACAACAATTCACTCTCGACTCTACCTGCTTTGTATGAAGTTGTGTGTGTTTTGCTTGAAGAAGACGATCAAAATTAAAATAGTCGAATACAACAGTATGTAAATTGATGAGTGTTAGGATCTACTATTTATATAGGAAAAGTTATATTGTTATCTTATTTTATCGTCGCAATAAATAATATAGGCATTAGTAGTGAGATTTTCCCTATGATGAACAACAAGGAAAGACAAGGTTAAATGAAAAGATTATGTGTTGCAGTTTATTAGAAGATGGTGAGACTTTTCCATTCTTATGACTCATTCATTCATTCCCTAACGAAACGCGGGTAATGTCTCATCGAGGCCATGCTAATTCTTCTTTCTGTTTCCTTCACATAACGTCATATCGATCGTAAATAAACACTATTTTCTAACCATCTCTATCTTGTTGCTTATATGTAACATTTGTCCTTGATGTAAAATATTTCCTTTATAAATACAGAAGTAGACTCTAATGACTTCATTCATCGATGCATCATCATCATTGACGACCTCAAACCAATGAATCCAAATAGAATAGAAGTGGTAATGTTTTGTTTTTTGATCGTATATTATATTTAAATGCCTTTCATTCTATGCATGAGTGTGTGTTTGTCCGTTACATGTTTTCTTAAAACATTGTCTTTCTTATTCCATGATCCTTTTTTTTAGTTTTAATTAATACGCTGAAGACTAGATAACTAACAGAATCATATATCACAATTACGGTATGTAATTATTGAATTTGTAACAAGAGATAGATAGACGAACTGAATATCAATTTATTAGACTTTGTCTACGTTCCTCGTTGAGTTTCGAAAGCTTTTTTTAGAATATTTTTATGTTTGTAAAGGAAATCAATCATTTTAAGTCGAAATCACGGCACACAAGACAAGAACTGAATGTACATAGTGAGCTCTTTTCATGCACCAAGTTTAAGGGCAAATTTTTTGAGTCATCATTCGAGACATAACTCACCACTCAGAGCAGGATAGCTGGTATTGCATAGGCGAATAATAAAAGTAGAAGGAGCGTTACGCCCCACTTTTCTTCGCGCGCCTATCTCCAGTCATAGTTACAGTCGTGGTTATGATCAGTGATTTGAATTGATGCTCGTAAACTTCTATGAATGAATGATGCAGATATCGAAGAATCATTTATATTGTATAAATACAGACAGAGTAGATCTAACGATATATTGAATCAGCAACACTAGAGAAGACTAGATCAAATGGAACACAATGAGTGCATCAAATGTAAACACAACACAAGAAAAAATAATATTTAATACCTGTGTTGTTTCTGCTGGATAAGAACAAAAAATAGCGAAAGAGGACTAAGTTCTTGTCTTTCAAGAACATTGTTTCAAAACCAAGTGAGATTCATACCTTTGCAATAAGCTCGCCATATTTTTTTGTCATCACTCATGCTACGTAGCTTTCAGCATAGAGATTAGGGTATGGGTGTGAGTGTCGGTCGACTCTTAAACCGGCACCCGTGCCTACACCCCATACCAACACTCAATAGTACACATCTTTATCGTTGCAACTAGCATTTTCACTTTTGTTTGAAAGAGTGAAGTGCTAAAGTTTGTTGTGAGCAATTCTCTAGGTCTTTTCCTCAAATCATTTGTCTACTGCGGTGTAGGTTTCACAAAAATGCTAATTTGAATATATTTTTAGTTTCATAAAAATTTGAGAAACAAGTTTGTTAACAAAGTAATCCTTTTGAACGGAAAATAGGTTTTTAAATATTTTTCAGGCGAACAAAATTTGAGGCTGTTTAAGCTTTCTCTAGAGTTTCTTGAAAAACCTTCAAGAATTTTTAAATTTTAACTTTCCTCAATCTATATCTTCTAGGGTTTTAATAAAAAGTACAGGTATAAATTTTATCTTTATTTAACATTTGTGTCTTTGCAATCATCATTCTTTTTTATAACATACACTTGCCGAGTGAATAACGAAAATGAAGATAACTGGTGTATATAACTTTTTTTTCCCCTGAGTATACCTGTCAAAACTCTAATGAGATTTTTCTCCACGGCTGCTTCTATACTTTTGTACTTTAACAGTTGATACACTTTTATTATCTGTCTTTGTATGCCCAGGTCGAAATAGCTATGTCGGATCCTGTCGGATAGGTTTCAAATCCGTTGAGATACGGCTAATCGGATTCGGTCGGTTACTTTTTGTCGGATTCCGATGCTATCCACTGTTTTCCTTTGACATCCGCCGGTCGGATTCATCGAGCTCTGACTAGATTCATATATTCGGAACTGGTCAGATCCGATCTCAAGATCTGTTCGCTTCCGATGGTATTCCGGGGAATCTGATGTCAAGAAATGGCCGGATTTTGCGGTTTCAAATGACACCGGATTCCATGATAAAACCGATCAATCATTGGTATCGGAACCTGTCGGATTATATAAGAATGCAGAATACCTAGGCCGATCTCACACCATCGGATCCGATGAAAATTAGTCGGAAGTTGTCGGATGTTGGAAAGTATCGGATTTTCAGAGTTCCGACAAGATCCCGGCCACTTCCGACACTTTCCGACATCCGACAACTTCCTGTCGGAATCCGATACCAAGGATTCCGACGAATTGCCATCGGATTCGATAAAAATTCGATAATTTTTCCGATAGGGTCCGACGAGATCCGACTGTCGGATTGTTCTTTCTGGGTATCCAGTATTATTTTCCACGTAGTCGGATTCATGAATTAGAATATATTCTGACAGATCAATCAGCTAATCATCTAATAAGATATTTCTCTTTTTACAAATCTCCAACAACAAAATCAAAAATCTGGAAATCCGATTTCGTCCAGATTTCATTCACCGTTTTGTTTTACAGATATCGATCTATATAAGGAAGTCTCTACTTTAATATTTCGAATGAATTTCCAAAGTGTTGCTCAGATTAATTTTATTTCAAATGATTTTTTTCCTATTACAATTCTGTTTTCCACGCAATCGGATTCTTGAATAAGAATATATTCTGACGGATCAATGAGCTAATCAATTAATTAGATAATCCTCTTTTTATAAATTTCGACAAGCAAAATCAAAAATCTGGAAATCCGATTTTGTCCAGATTTCATTCACCGTTTTGTTTTACAGATATCGATCTATATAAGGAAGTCTGTACTTTAATATTTTGAATAAATTTCCAAAGTGTTGCTTAGATCAATTTTACTTCAAATGATTTATTTCCTTATACAATTATGTTTTCCACACAGCGGATTCATGAATTAGAATATATTCTGACAGATCAATCAACTAATTAATTTATTTATTAGATATTCCTATTTTTACAAAATTCCAACAACAAAATCAAAAATCTGGAAATCCAATTTTGTCCAGATTTCATTCACCGTTTTGTTTTACAGGTATCGATCTATATAAGGAACTCTCTACTTTCATATATCAAGTGAATTCTGCCATTTTGTATAACTAAGTTCTATATATTAGGAAGAATCTTAGTACAAGCATTGTTCAATTTTAAGAAGGATCGTAGTATATACATTGTTGGATTCTGGGAATAATCCCAGTTGAAACAGTTGAAATCCTTTAGACTCTTGATGACATCCTGATACAATCTTTAGAAATTTTGATAACATCCTGGTGAAATCTGTTCAAAATGTCGATTCAATCTTTGGAAAATCTTTAGAATTCTTGATGAAATCCGTGGGAAATCTTCAGCAATCTCGATGAAATCCTTGAGAAATCTTTATAAATCCTGATGAAATCCTCAGAAATCTCGATGAAATCCTTGAGAAATTTTTATAAATCTTGATGAAATCCTTGGGAAATCTTCAGAAATCTCGATCAAATGCTGGGGAAATCTTTA